CTGGGGGGGGTGGGTAGATAAGCAGCATGTCCCCTTGTAAATTGCAGTCCCCTCCTTGCACTTCCTCGACCCTTCCTTTTGGGTATTTGTGTCTCTTACTCGGTGCCTGTCTTCCCTCAGAGCATGTAGGCACACAAGCCAGTGTTCTAGTCACTACTGTTGTGCAATAAATGACCCTACAACTTAGTGGCTTAAAACCACCACCGTTTTATTATGTTCCCAGAATCCATGGGCCAGGAGTTGTACAGGTGCACCAGAATGGCTTGTCTGTGCTGTAGGGGTACAGACCTCAGCTGGGAAGATCTGGAGGCTGGCTAGCGGGATGTCTTGGGGCCAGAAGTCACTTCAGGCTTCTTTATGAGCATGGTGGGGCCTGGTCTGGAGTGACGTGGAGACAACTGCCCACTAGAGGGCCCACACAGGGCCTTTCTCTGTGCTTGACTCCTCACACGTGCTGTTTCATGGTCGTCCAACCTGAGGCTGGAATGGGAGTGTTCCCGCACACAAACAGGAGTTTACACAGCATTACTGGTTAGGGGGTCACGAGCCCACCTAGACTCAGTTGGAGGGGAAGTACACCACTCCTGGGTGGGGAGGTGGCAGGATCCCCTTCTAGGTCATGAGGGATCGTGAGGTTTTTGCAGCCTAGGACAGGTAGACCGCTTTTTCCACTCATATTTTACTCCGTGATAAACTTTGGGGACCTTAGCTTCCCCAGGATTGAATTTTAAGAGTAGATTTTACCTTCTTTTTTATTCACTTTATTCAGAGTTTATATTGTCCAGTGGGAACATTTTTACTCTGTGTTTTTCAGTTAAAGATATTAAGTCAGAACCTCAGCCACTTTCTCCAGCCTCCTCCAGCTGTTCGGTGTTGTCTCCCCAGTTAGCGGACTCCTGTGCTTCCACTCAGCACGTTCCTGTAAGTAGCCCGTCTTTTACAGTGGTTTTGGTTGTGATGCTGCCTGGACAGTATGTGTACAGGGGAGGCAGTTAACATTTATTAGGTGTACTTGGGGCCTTATTATCTCTTCCCATCCTGAGGAAACTGAGTCGTGAGGAAGGGCCTTGGGGATCAAGGAAGCTGTGCCTCCCTGGTCTTGCCCTCTTCCCTGTGTTGATTTGTTGGTTGCACTTCCCCAGGATTCAGGTTTTTTTCGTTTATTGCTTATTGTCTTCTCTCTCTGCCACCTTCTCTCTTCCCTGTTGCAACAGACATTCTTTGAGGACATGGAAGACTGTGAGATGGTTGCCTTTGTGAGTCCTCAGCCATGAACCTGGAATGCAGGTCTTAGTTCAGCCTGCGTTTCAAATGGCTGAGGCTTTAAAAAAAAATCTGGGTGAGGATGTGTGTTTATTGACTTTAGAGAGAGAGGAAGGGGGGAGAGAAAAACATCCATCAGTTGCCTCCCATATGCACCTCGGCCGGGGATCCAGCCTGCAGCCTCTTGGTGTGCGGGGCTATGCTCCCACCCTCTTAGCCACCCTGCCGGGGCATTATTGCCGAGAGTTTTACAGAAGTCTGATAGCTCCTTAGAAACGATTCTGCGCTCCATGCAGATAAGAGTTCCAGGGCCAGGAAGAGGGAGTGAAAGGATTCAGGTGCTCTCTGGGGTGAGGAAAACACAGGAGGAAAGGTTCAAACTCAGTTTCCACACAGCACGCCCGAAAGCCCCGACCTCGTCTCTATGAATCCCCATGACTGTGGGTGTGATGTCTCCAGGACTCACCTTCCTGGTGCTGCCAGGCCATCGTCATCTCACCACACCAGGTCGATAGGACTATGCCTGGTCTCTGCTCCTGTGCCCCAAATCTTCATTAGCAGAGGAATCTTCAAAGAGAAATCTTTCAGAATTGCACATTGGATTGTGTCAGTCGCTTGCTTAAAACCTTTGAGTGACTTCTTAGCCCTTTGAGGGTGAAATTCACACTCCCAGTCTGCTGGGCCCTCTGTGCCTGGCCCTGCTTCCTTTCTAGTCTTGTTTCTCACTTTCTCCCACCTGCGAGACTTCCTGCCTGAGAGCTCATTCAGCCTCTGATTCTGCATTTTGTTATTTTTCTTTCAGTATTGGTGGGTAGGGTCTTAGTACTTAATGTATAAAGGTTCTGATACATCACACTTTTGCTTTGGAGTTGTCTTGAAGTGTTTCTCTATTTCTTTGTGGGTCTTGCCTCTCTAAGCTCTTTTCTGCTCAAGGACTGTGTTCTTCTGTGTGATTTGTGTTTGATTTTGCTACAGGAGGAGCTGGATTTATCTTCCGCCTCCCAAATGTCTCCCCTTTCCTTCTATGGAGAAAGCACCAACAGTCCCTGCTCAGCCGAGCCACCGAAGGAAGACAAGCCCGTCACAGGTTCCAGGAGCAAAACCGGTATTATTCTTTTTTTTTTTTTTTTTTTAAATATATCTTTATTGATTTCAAAGAAAGGAAAGGAGAGGGAGAGAGAGAGATAGAATCATCAATGATGAGAGATTCATCGATCGGCTGCCTCTTGCACGCCCGAGACTGGGGACCGAACCCGCAACCTGGGCATGGGCCCTGACCGGGAATCAAACCCCGATTTCTTGGATCCTAGGTTGATGCTCAACCACTGAGCCACTCCTGGCCGGGCTAAACCGGTATTATTCCATGTCCCCATGGCCACTTGTGCTGTAGCCTGAGCTTAGGTTCCATTCTCAGAAGAAAATGTTGGATTAGTGTGTGTTTATTAATCCACTTTTTGTTTGTCGTGGAGAACCGATGTGGAGAGGACAGGTAGGAAGTCCTCTTCTTGGTTGCCTCTGTCTTTAGAGGTGAAAGAGACTTTACAATAGACTCAGGCCCCATCACCTTCAGGTTAAGGGACTGGGCATGAGGGCTGTTGGGCTCTGATGTCTGTAACCTTTTGACCTGTAGGCCATGGTCAGTTGTTTACGGTGCTCCTGCACAGTTCACATACCCTCCCCAAAGCTGCAGCTGTCAGAAAAGAGGGCCTTATTCCACTGCGAGATGAGCTAGTCCTGGGACATCATGTACAGTATGGCGACTGCACTCAAGTGATCCTGTCTTGCAAGTTTGAAAGTTGCTAGGAGAGATTTTAAATGTTCTCTTTATAAAAAAAATAACTTTGTAACTGAATGTTGAAAGATGTTAATTAGACTTACTGTGATGATCATTTGGTGGTACAGATATTGAATTATTATGTTGTACACCTGAAACTAATATAATGTTACATGTCAATTATACTTCAGTATCAACAAGGGAAGTCAGATTAAGGACTTTTCTTCAGTCTTTAGGCATGGAGTAGCTATACCTAAACTTCAGTTAAAGATAGTGACTCAGAGGCCAAGATAACCTCAAGATAACTGATTGCAGAGGTCAAAGTGTGTATAATAGAACCTGTTTCCTAAGATTTGCTTGTCTTCAGATTGATTTGAGGTTTTGTTTTCTCACAGAAAATGGACTGACTCCAAAGAAAAAACTTCAGATGAATTCAAAACCTTCAATTCAGCCCAAGCCTTTGTTGCTTCCAGCAGCACCCAAGACTCAAACAAACTCCAGCGTTCCTGCGAAAACCATCATTATTCAGGCACTTCCCACACTGGTGCCGTTGGCCAAGCAGCAGCCGGTTATCAGTATACACCCTGCACCCACTAAAGGTGCGTGAGGCAGCTCGGGCTGCGTGTGATTAACTGGCAGCCACCAAGGCTTGTGCCATACGACGCTTTAATTCAGGTTCTAATCTCCCAGCACGTGCCATGTGTCGGGAATTGACCTTGACTCTAGGATGTTGCAGATGACTTACTAGTCAACTTATTACATATGGTTCCTGTCCCAGCCAGGGAGGTAGCTCTCCAGCCAATCGTGTCCGACATGCCCTCTTTCTTACGGTCTGGATTATGAAGGGCTCGTGGCATAGACACCACTTCTCATGAAGAAGGAAATCTGTGAAACTTTCTTAGTGACGTTTTATCCTGAGACTTTCTTGCTGTAGTGAGAGGTCAGTATTTAAACAGTGTGGTCCATTCCAGGTCTGGTAGGTGTGTTTTGGCAGTAGAATCAGGCTCTTGCTGTCTGAGGAGTGAACATGGTCCAGAGCGGCTTTGGACACCTGATCTCTGTCTTCACCTCGTTAAGACCATGTGTGTTTCTACATTTCATCCACAAGATGGCTGCACATACTTGATTCTATAAGAATCAAGTTGAGGTCAGTATTTAAAGAAAGATGTTCGAGTTTGAAGCTTTGGTACTGTTGAGATTTAGGAATCATGGCACATCACGGTCGCTCTGCAGGTGACTTGTCATGGCCTTTATGCCGATATATGTCCACATGGGCCTAGGACACTGTGCAGTGTCCTCCCTGGGCCTTGCTGTTGGCTCCCAGGAGGACGAGGTGTTTGTTAGTGGGGTACAGGTTGCCCATAAGCATAATGTTGCATTTGCTTTCCTGGCTGTATTTCTAGCTATCTCTTGTTAACTCATTTCTTCGGACTGTGGTTTTAATGAGGGCAAGGTCATAAGTTTGATTCCTAGGTAGCTTTGTTCTGTTCCTCTGTCATAGACAGTAGACATGGATTGAAAGAAGAACTAGGTGAGAGAGTGTATGGGTGCAAGCAGACCTGAAATGCCTGCCCTCTCAGTTGCAGGGTCAGAACTGCTGCCTTTTTCACGTGGAGAGAGCACTGCTGTGGAACAGGCATTCTTGTGTCTTTGAGTGGAGGCTAAGCGTTCATGAACTCCTTGGCATAAAATGCAAGAGTTAGTGTATGTCCATGTGTGGCTTTTCTAGGGATAGTCTCCAAAACCTTCATCAGAGTCTCAGAAAGATCTATGTCTTCCCAAAGGCTAAGAATTTAAACTTGTGAAGACTCTCATTATAGCTCCCATAAGCTATTAAAACTCGTATAAAAAGTAAAGTCTAACATTAACACAACTAGTGTATAAAGCAAGGGGTATTCTAAGGGTTTGCTCTTAGCAGACCGTTGGCCGTTTAAGTGTTAGGAGGTCTTACCTGTAACGAGAAGACAAACTTTTTTTCCGAGCAGTATTTCAGTGTCAGAAACTGGATCCTACCTCACTCAGAACTTGGGTGCTTTCCCAGTAACCACAGGTAGTACTTGTTTTGTGGAGCCTGTGCTGATTGGGCTCTTGTCTGCTCTCACAGAGCAGGCCAGAGAGGTGGTGTCAGATTGAAGTGTTTGTCTTCCATTTGTTTGAAAATGGGGAGGGAGAGGGAGAGGGAAATACAGGAGGGGCATTTTATGGTAATGATGTAAACTTCTGTAGTAAATGTTTTACCATTGAGAACAGGAAGTAATTCTTAGAGGATCATGTTGGAATTCTCTTGTCTGGAATGGAAAGCCCTGGAATGGAAAGCCCGTCCTGGTTTGGCTTCAACTGTTTTCTCACTTTGTATTACTGCATTATCTTTTTCTACAACCCTCTTTCTAGCCCAGTTAATCTGGCCATTGCTCCTAAAATGCCTTGTTTTTCCTAATTTCTTGTCTCATACCATCCTCTCTGCCTTGAGCAGCTTTTGCCATTTCCACACCTAAGTCCTGTGCATCCATTTAGACTGTGTGAATGGTGCAGGTGAGAGGTGAGGGAAACCTGGAGTGTCTGTGGAAATGGGGAGCCAGGGTAGAATCCCAGGGCTTGGTAATCAGACGGTATGGAAGGGGTCAGGGAAGAGAGGACAGTGTCCTGTCATGGTCTCTGGGTAGAAGATTGTGTGAATCTTTCGGATGGGGGTAGAGGTGTGTACTTGGTCAGGTCACTGTGCTGTGACGGGCAGGCACAGGGTCTGTGAATTAATCATGATACCACATTGCCCCTGGGAGAATGCTGAGCTGTGGTCATTGAGCTCAGGAGTTAGCAAGTTTATGTAAACAGTTAAATACAGGAAGTGTGAGAACTAATGAATTAATAATACGTGCAGTGACCTTGTGGAAGCTCTTCTATAGGTGGATAATAGTGATTACAAGAATGGCTAACATTTAAGTTTCCACCTGTGCCAGACACTGGTCTCAGTGCTTGAGTGTGTTGGCTTATTTAATCCTTACATCAACTTGGTGAGGAGAGTGCTGTTACCCTTGCCCCGGTATAAGTGAGGCAGTCAGGACACACAGGACTTATCTGGAGTCACACAGCACCCTGGTCATGCAGTAGGTGTTTTGTACATCACTTGAAACCTTTGAAGACAGGTAGAAAGGAGGAACTGTCACAGTAGGTAGTCATTCTTAGTGGCATCCAGCATTGTGTCCAGCAAGTCCCATCAAGGGGATTTGCATGAAGTCTCAAGAGGATGTTGAGGGCCCAGAACAGATAAACAGCCTGGGGTGTGTCCCTTCCACCTGTTTCTGCATTAGGAACAGTAGCGACTAAGTTCAGCTTCGAACTGTTTAAGGCCCCAGATAGGCCTTTGCATTGCAGTTTGGGATCTGGTGAGCAGGTCCCTGAATAGTGAGTCACCAGGGAAGTTTTTAGTTTTTTCTCAAACATGCTGTATAGAAATTTAGTTGTTTCTCCCCATTCTGTCTTGATCCTTGATTTAGATGCTGGCCAATTTGCAGGTAGCTGGGCACTGTGCAGGGAGAGGGCCTGATGTGCACTGTGGAGAAAAGGAGGCAAGGAGCTGGCAGGACGTGGAGCCACGTGGTCCCCAGGCATGGAGGTCATGCTCTCTGGGCTCCTGGCTGCAGCTCTCAGCAAGGACACGGTGATAGCTCGACAGTGACGGTCAGTGTGAGGAGGATACTTTTCTGCATTAGTTTTGAGACAGAGGACAAAGCCCCGCCTGTCCCGGCCAGCTCTGCAAACCTGTGACTGAGCTCAAAGGAGGGTCCTGTCTTTGAAAAGACTCAGTTCTCCATGTTGACCACAGCCTGCATTCTTTGCAATAATAGTGTTCAGTCTTTTGGGGTCTTTTTACTTTACTTTTTAAACTGAGAAGATGTGGAACGCTGCTTCTAACACGCCCTTGCAGAATTACTGGTGGGAGCCCCTGGCTCTCCCCATAGACCGGGATCCTGGGGCGGCAGTGGTAGAGGAGTCGGGGTCCGCCCGCCTGTGCAGCCCGTGCCAGAGATGCAGCCGGTGGTTTGTCTCGTAAGTCCATACTGCTGGCTTCAGGTTTGTGGCTACACTTCTGGTTAATAAGCTGCAGATCCATTTAAACTCATTGCTAAGTTCTTAATAGGCTTTTCTCATCACGCATTTCTGAATCCAGAGAAACTGAAGGGACAGGATCCTGGGTGATGTGGTGCTGGTGATGTGAGACTAGAGCAGCAGATTCAGGGCAGGGCCGAGCAAGTGCTGTGTCATGATGAGCATGTCTTCGATGTGCCAGAGTGACTAGTTCTTATTAAGTGTTATTAAGAGACCTAAAACGGTCATGTGCTATTTATTTTATTTATTAATTATTTTTGCATATTTGGCCTAAGTGTATTTATATTAGCTTTTGAGTCATTTCCTCATTTTATGTTTTATTTCATAAAATAAGTTATTCCAAGGGAAAATGAGAGATACAAATGTTTAGTGATTATTTATGCCCAAGTAAATTGTACATATTACAAATCCTTGGAATTATTCTTAGATTTTTTTACTAATTTACTAATTTATCTGGGACAAAATGCTATTCTGCTACTTTTAGCATGCTTTCTGAGGCCATCTGAAACTGTACTGTGATTTTATAGAAGTGATTTTTTTCTTTAAGTGAAGATAGGTGTTCTTAACAAGCAAATCTCCTGAAGCGTTATGTTGATCTCGAGCTTCCTCCATCCTTTGAAACATGAGCTGAGTTTTACGTGGCTCACGTTACACTGTCTGACTATGTGATGCTTTTCCCCTTAAAGGTGAATTATAAATACATGACATTTTAGTTGCTGGTTACTGCAGTGCCTTTATATTGCTAGGTAGGCTCCAGCAGCTGTGTATATTAGGCGAGGCTTTCAGCACCTGATAAGCTGGGCCAGCACTGAAGGGAAATGCTCAGCAGGCCAGTAAATGTCTTTAGTAGAGTTAGGAGCTTGTGAGTCTTCTTTCTTTAGGTCATTGATACTGATTCTGCTCAGATTGGCATAATTTTAAAGTAATGCTAAATGTGAAGATTAAGAAAAGACGCCTGGCTGGGTGTGGCTCAGCGGTTGAGCATCGACCTAGGAGCCAGGAGAGCTCAGTTGGATTCCTGGTCAGGGCACATGCCTGGGTTTCGGGCTNTGTGCTTGTTAGGTAGGAATTCATCTCAAATGATTTTAACATTTTAAAAAAAATTTATCTTTATTGTAAAAAGGATTACAGATATCCCTCCTTTTTTCCCTACCACTCCCCTCCACCCCACATTCGCCTCCCCCCAGGCCTTCACTGCACTATTGTCTTTGTCCATGGGTTATTCTATATGCATATAAGTTCTTTGATCACTCTCTCCCCACCCACTCCCCCATCCCCGCCTTCCCTCTGAGATCCCTCAGTCTGTTCCATGCTTCTGTGTCTCTGGATTTATTTTGTTCCTCAGTCTATTTTATTAGATTCCGCATTTGAGTGAGATCATGTAAAACTGAATCAGGAAGAATCAGAAAACGTGAATANTCGGGCTTGATCCCCAATAGGGAGCGTGCAGGATGCAGCTGATCAGTGACTCTCTCATCATTGATGTTTCTATCTTTCTCTCTCCCTCTCCCTTCCTCTCTCTGAAATCAATAAAGATGTATTTAAAAAACACACCAAAAACCCCCCAAACGCCATATTTAGAAAAAAAGAAAAGATTTGTAGGGCGTTTTCAGGGGGAGTTATTATTTACAGGCTGTTTTATTTTGATTTTATTTTATTATTTTTTAAAATTTATCTTTATTGTTGAAAGGATTACAGATGTCCTCCTTTTCCCCCCATTGACCCCCTTCACCCCACCCC